GCCGAAAAAAAACATTGGCCCAACGGAATAAGTTTGCCAATGTTAAAACTTACATTGGGCCAATCTAAGCTTGCTGTCTGGGTTTTAATGTTCTGATTAAAAAACGCATCCTTAAAGAAAATTTCAGCAAAATAAAGAAGAAACTTTTACAATTTTTTTTTTTTTTTTTTTTTTTACAACGATCATTATATATATCAAAACCATTATTACATATATCAAAAAGATTTTACATGTTTCCAGTTTATATAGTTTATATATATGTACACCACATATACTTACAATGCCTAAAAAAAGAATGCTGTTACACGCATGTGCGCTTGAGAATGGGTCAAAACAATTAGTTTAAAAATTCGTGATTTATAATATAACGTGCTGGCTATCAACTCATGCATTGGAAAAATATACGCAAGTCCGTCGGTAATCGGTAAAATGCGAACTGCGAACCGCGAACTGCGAACCGGTAAAATGCGAACTCTTTTGCGAACCAAAACATTACATTTTAATGACCGCAATATAATATATTAAAGTTATATAAAACGTTTGCTATTCAATTCTTTCTTTTATTAAATAATATAATGGAATTAGATTTATTTAAATCTTTACCCGCTGAATTCGCTGTTCGGTACAAACCAAAAGCTGGTACTAATTACATTTTCTCGTGGACTAATGACAATGATATGTGAATATATATATATATATATATATATATATATATATATATATATATATATATATATATATATATATATATATATAAAATTTATACAATTTATTCACATTTTAAAAGAATTAAGGATCGTTTGAAGATTAAATTGTTTTTAAATTAAAAACCAAGGAAATTTATTCACAATAACATAAAATATTATTTAGAAAATTGGCGTGCAGATGGTTACAGGGGGGGGGCAAGGGGGTTCAAAGACAATTAATGGAATTAAAAGGAAGTATTTTAGAATTCTTGTTGCACAAGACACAGTAAGTGATGTGTTTGTACGTAGAGCACACTATCATGCTGATTATGCTAATTCAGTTCTGATATCGTACATAGGTGATGAGCTAAGGCTGTGGAGTTTCCTCATGGAAATGCTACTAGATGTAATAGAGATTTTATCAGGACACAGCCAGGTGTTATAAACCAAATTAAGGAAAGTACAGGTTCTGTCCAAAAAGTATACAAAGACATAATATTATCAAATACAGCTGATATAAATATAACAGCAGTTCCACGTAACATGGAACAAGTCAGTAATACTTTAAAATCAACACGCAATCAGCAGCGTTTATCTAGAGATAGTTTATACAATCTTCATGAATTAGCCTATGATACAAATTTTATTCATAATATAATAACATTTCCTGATTTGGTGGTAGTTATGTACTCAGATGAAACACTGCAAATTTTTCAGCAAGTACTGAAATTGTCTCAACTACCTCAGCAACTATCATATGATACAACTTTTTCTTTAGGCGACTTCTATCTTTCTGTTTTGCTATTTAGAGAAACTGAGTTTGACCAAAGTCCAATCATTCCACTAGCTTTTATGATACATGAGCGAAAAACACTAATGCCCCATTCCATATTCTGGCAACATATGAAATTAGTATGCCCAGAACTTGCTTTAAAGAATTTTTATTGTCACAGATCAAGAACGAGCTATAACAGAGGCCATCAAAGAAAGTTTTCCATCAGTTTCACATTTTCTTTGTTGGAACCATGTTTTGCAGGACAGTAAGCGATGGTTACAATTGCATGGAGTGAAGACAAAAGATGAATTAGCATATTACACTGAATGTATTCAATCTCTTCTTCGTTCTGATTCTGAATCTTCATGTAAAGATAAACTAATAACAATGCTATCAGCATGGAGTCAGCCTTTTTCTGAGTACTATATCAAAACAATTCATAGTGTAGTAGACAAACTTCGATCTTGGAGAATTAAACAGTTTAACTTTCATGAAATTACTACAAATCAATCAGAAGCATTTAATACTGTAATTAAGCGACTACAGGACTGGAAAGAGGCTACTGTAGATTCAATGGCTTTAAGCTTATATAGACTTATACAATATAGTATGGTGGAAATTTATCGTGCTCGAAAAGGAACTGGCCAATATGAATTAAGAGCTGAATTGAAAGGTACTTATGAAGAATGTGATCTTCATATTCCAGAAACAACAGCACCAGAACAAATTGTTCAACGTATTAAAGAAACCATCAACAATCAATTTATGCATAATACATCTAAAAGTTTAGAGTTAGTACAAAATACAACTATGATAACTTCTGTTGAAAGGGCCAATGAAATCATTAGAAATTCTCATATTGCTCTTGACCCCAAACTTGCGACCTTTATTGTAAAAGGATCTATAGAACCACGTGTAGTAAAACTGTTTCCAAAAGAGACATGTTCATGTCCAGCTGAAAGTAGATGTTATCATATATTGGCAGCACGCCAGGCTATTGGTCTATCTGTTACAAACAACAAAAAAAAACAGGTTAATCTAACACAACTTCGTCGAAATACAAGAAAAAAATCTGACAAAACAGGAGGAAGAAAAAGACCAAGAACACTTGATATTGAAGTTATTCCAGCAGGAGATGCTAATCCAGACGAAATAAAAGATTTGATAGCTAAAGTTAATGCCTTAAAAAAAACATGATATATATATATACATATATATATATATATATATATATATATATATATATATATATATATATATATATATATATATATATATATATATATATATATATATATATATATATATATATATATATATATATATATATATATATATATATATATATATATATATATATATACACACATATATAGATAGATCATGTTGATAACAACTTTAAACAAAAGAAAAGTAAACAAAAACTATAAATAAAGTTTTTACATAGTTTATATAAATACATATATATAAAATAATTAATAAAGTACGTATAATATATAAAATATATTTTTAACTAATTATATTTACTTATCAAAACAGAGTGTAGAATATATATTTATAGTAACAAAAGGTGTACCTTGAATGTTGTTTTTTTTAATATCATATCCCTTTTTTATGAATCTTCGTTATAATATATGAATCTGTAGAAGAAGTATAAACAAAGAACTATTTCTTCATTATACATTTTTTACAGATTTTTCTTACTATTCACTTTTTCATCTTAAGTATCTGTTTTTTTCGCAGTTTTCTTTTTTCATACTAGTTTTACTCAATTTGTTTTTTCAAATAAATGCTTTTGCGTGTAGTCCTTAAAATATTTTGGAAAATAAACAATTTAACGGCAAACGGAAAATAAAGTATTACATCATTAACAACCAATAGAACCATGGTTCGCAAAAAAGTTCGCATTTTACCAGTTCGCAGTTCGCGGTTCGCAGTTCGCATTTTACCGACTACCCAGTCCGTCGCATCATCGAAAACTTTTAAGATACAAAATAAACTAAAAATTAAAAAAGTATATTTACAAAACTTATATTACTCTTTTTAGTCAACTTTACTTATTATTAATATTGCTAATATTATTTTATTATTATTAATTTCATTTATTACATATTACATATATCGATAAAATTGTTTTTGTTAATTATGAGATCTTTTAGTTTTTTCTGAAGCTGGTACCCAATAAATAAAAGTCCATTTTAATAAAAAAATTTAAAATTTGGTTCATTGTTTTTTTGTTCACAGAATACAAAAACTTTTAATGCAAGATTTTAACTTTGAGTAATAATAATTTGGGTTTATTTATCAACCAAGTAGTTTGTAATGTCCATAACAACGCCATAGCAACCAATATATAAACGAAAATATTTCCAATGTATAATTGCAAAAATGAATATATTTTAAATATTAAAAAATATTTGAGTATTATAGCCTGCCTTAATTATTTTTTTGGTCATAAGTTGAATGATCATTCGAATTCTAATTTTAGTTTTTAAATCGCAAAATCTCAAAATATACTTTTTCACAAGTTTTCAAGGTTTGTGATATAACAACTATTTAAATAATTATGTAAAAGTGCTGAAATTTTCACAGATTGTTCTTCATATTATTAAAATTCATTTGAGAAAAGATTTTTTTTCAATGCATTTTAGATCTTAAAATTTTGTTACTTTAGTGTTGTTTAGGTCGATTACTTTTTAGTGTTTCATGTATAATTTCTAAAATATTCATTTGTTTTCATTTATTTTCTTTTAATTGAAGTATGTTACCATGATAAAAAAAATTTCCAAATTTCATGCTAAAATGACTAGTAGATTTTGAATAATTACTTCGCAAAAATTCAGTTATTTTCATTTTTTGGGGGGTAAATGAGGCAAAGATTTTCAAGTTTGGTAGCATTTTTGAAAATTATTTTCAACTATGTATTAATATTGTGAAAATGAAAGTGAGCTTTAGTTCCAATCAGATTTTTATTTATTTCTTGGGGTACCACCAATAAGATTATCCAATTTAGGGCTATAAGATTATCCAAAATAGTTCTATATTTTAATGTATACCTCAAAATAGTGAACATACTACCCATACAGCAAGCTTACATTGGACCAATGTTGGGCCAATGCATGGTGATGCATTGGCCCAACGTTGAAAGTCGATGTTGGCCCAATGCAGGTTTGATCATTGGTTAGGTATTGGCCCAATGTTGTGTACAACATTGGCCCAATGTTGTATACAACGTTTACCCAACATTGGCACAACATTGTATATAACGTTAGGCCACTATTGTAAACAACATTGGCCCAACGTTGTATACAAAACTGGCCCAATATCGTATATTATACGATTATTATTTTTATATTGGCCTAACGTTTTATGCAACATTAGATCGTTGTTTCAAATAAGATGATTTGCATCGCTACATTGAAAAATTATAGAGAAAAAAAAGAATGTATTGTACAAGTATAAAAATTTAATTATTTAACATAATTTCTCGGTTAAATATACATATTACAAACACCAAACTTAAACCAAAAACTGGCACATTGAGTTTTAAATAAAAAAATTCACTGTAAAATTTATAGAGAAGTTTCGATATTGACTGAGCTACTTGTTATTGAATCGTGTTTAGCTTATGATATTTGGTGCCCACGATTATTATTTTTTCTTCTGCTATCTCTATCACATGTCTGCATGCTTAATTGACTTCACAGTTTCTGCAAAAAAAAATAGTTGTTTGTTAAATTATGCACCAAAGAAACATAACAAATTGAAAGTAATTCTGTAATACAAAATTGAAACTGAAAAAATAAACTTTTCTAAACCACTTACCAATAGCAGCATATGCAATCAACATTTTTCCTATTCCAATTTTTTATCCTCTCCCTGCATAATTTAATTTTACAGCTAGGCCATTTTAATAAACTATTCTTAGTAAATAACAAATACTATCTCCTTCGTCTTTAACTTCAATTTGTGCCAAATAATTAACTTGCAAAAATACGCAGCCTGGCAGTAATTAAAGTAACTTTAGTTTAGACTTAAATTAATATAAAATGTCATATACAAAAAATCTTCAAAGAGTATTTTATTTAAAGTATATAAATTGTACTACATATCATACTAAATGCATAAACAGATCATAAAAAAATATTTACCATTTACTGAAGTGTTTTCTTGTCTTTTTTCTTTCAGAGTACTTGAATTCTTCACTGCTTTTAATGGCAATGACACTCTTTCAGGCAATACAATAATTAGCATACCTTTGATACTCAAATTTTTATAACTGAATTTGATGTATTTTGTAGTTCACCAAGTTGCACTTCAATGCTTGCCGATTGTGCCAATAATACCAGTATATTTTTCAAGGATACAACTTTATCTTGAAACAATAAAGTTAATTATATTATTAAAAAACTATACAACTAATTATATATTATATTTAGAATTTATGAAAGTAAATACAAGAATCACTAACAAAAGAGATAAAATTAAAGACAGAAGGCCAAATTTTTAATGATCAAAATATATACTTGCTAATGGATTCATAATATTTTTATGAATTATGAAGTTTGCAGGTGTGCATTCAATTTCTGGGACTGACACAAAACAATTCTTATTAATGTTTGAGATATTAGTATAGATCTTATTATACATGCTAGTATGGTTCTTCTTATTAAGGATGATTAAGAAAATATTCTTTTCAAATAACCTCAATTTTAAAAAGTGTGACTCTTCACGTTTTCAAAATACAGCGTTCAATTGCAAAATGAGTAACTTCTTAACTAGAAATACTGACTTTTCCATGACTATCTAAAAAAAAAAATATTTCCCTGACTTTTCCAGGTTTTCCACCACTTTGGCCAATATTAACACATTTTCCAGATTTTCCAGGTACAGTACAGACCTTGTCAAATGTTTAAATATAATTTTTTTTTTATTTATTTTAGTTCTGAATTTTAATAATACAATTTAAAAAATAATATCATCTATAAAAATATCGTATTACCTTTGTCTATTAGATAAATTTAAATAAACGTTTATATAATAAATAACAATGAACCACCAGCAACTGTTAAAACTTTAAACTGATATGAATAGTCTGTTGTTTTTTTCAACAGTTGATTTCAAATGGAATTCAAAGTTGGTGACTTTGAAATCCAACAAAAAAATTGTTACGTTCATAAACCTAAATGTTCTCAAAACGACTAAAAAACCAGGCCAGTTCTTCGCAACTAAATATAATTTCGGTGGTCAGTATCCAAGAACGATCGCTCTCGCTCTCTGACCAAGCCAGTAGTGTAAGCTTTGATATGTTGATTATTATAAAACAAAATATTAATTACACTCTGACTTTTTGACTGTAATATATGAAAAAGTCTTTAAAATTGTAAAAGTTAAAGCTATGAATAAAGATTTTCAATCATCAGACATAAAGAATTTTATATAAAAACTTACCATTTAATAAATTTTGTTCATTTAACTTCTCAGAGCAAACATTGAACTTCTGTAAAGAGTTTGTAGTTACAGGTAAATCCCAAAGTTTAATAATATTTTTAGTTTTATTATAAGAAAATGAGGTGTAGAGGATAAATCATCTACACCAAGATATACACAATTTTTTGTCTCTTTAATCTTTATTTTGACCGGCCATTTTCGCTGTCT